CCCCAAAACCCCAAAACCCCAAAACCCCAAAACCCCAGCCGGAATAGGAATAATTGAAAACTAGAAATGGACTTATTTCAACAAGGTGATTATGAAATAGAAGAGATGCTCGGACTAGGACAGACCTTTAAGGGGGTGTGGGAAACTGAAGAGGGATATGAGGAAGAGATTTGAGGAGGCCAGGAGGAAATGGAGAAGGAAGAGGGAAGAGTATGGTTGGCAGGAGTGGAAAAGGATGAATGGAACTGTAATGAGCAAGAGGAGAGCTCGCTTTTTGAAAATAGAGACTTGGTGAATGCTGAGGAGAAAGAATTTAGTGATTTTGACTTTAATAAAAATTTTGATCTTAAAGAAGCTCCAAAGCAAAAAGAGGATATTTCTAAATCAGTCAACTCAAATCTCCAAAAATTAAGAAGTAAATTAAAGCTGAAGTGTCCAGAAAAGATCCCTTTGTCGACTAGCTCATCACCAAGAGCAATGAAGAAGAAAAATTATGCAATGATGGTTGATTGCCTTCTAGGCTCTTCTCTGAGAAGTTCTGGAGTCACGGAACTGTCTCTTCGGAAAGACGTAATTCATAAAAGAATCTTGAGAGGGTTTAAGAAATGTATTGTCAAGCTGTTTGATTCAATTAGAATAAGACCTTGCAGACTTAAGAACAGAGACACCTCATTCAAACAAGAAATGATCCACGAAGCCAAAAGGCTTAATATTATTAACTCAGAACAAGGTGAACAAATAGGAGACTTCAACGAGTTCCTTTGCTGGATGGCCATGAGCAAAAACACCAAGAAGACCAAGTCTCTCTTCGACTTTAATAATATGTCGATATTGCTAATGGATGAGATCCTCACAAAATACTCACACAGCAAACTTGGAGGTCTCTACGGTGACTCAAACATAGGAATGTTATTCCATTACTTCATAAGTAATGGACTTGAAGACTTCTTGGATGCATGTCCAAGTGATAAGAGAGATCTCTACCAAAAATGTGCTCAAAAGATCTATTATAATTTCCGTAATTATTACTAATAACCACTTATGATAAACCTAAACTTTTCATTCAACTTTTAACCACCGTTGCAATAGCTTAAAATTTGCATTACTTAGATTTACGATTTATCAACCGCATATTTCTAAAAGATATTTTGAATTGGGGATTATTATTTCAATGTCAACCTTCATGCAAGCAAGCATGACACTCCTTAACCTGAAATAAACTTATTATGATAACACCAATCAAGAAACTATTAGAGGAATTCACTAATTCCAGAAAAATAGGAAGATTATACCATCCAAAAAGAGTGTTGTTTCTGCATAAAATTTTAGAATTCCAAATGGCTTATTAATATATCGAACATTTTTAATAATATCAAGCTATGCATTTTGCAGGTTTATATATGCTAACTCTACCGCCTAAAGATGCTCCAAGTGCCCATAAAGTCCTAATCAATTTTTTGTATCACCCAAACCGGTCACCTGCCATATTCGACATAAGCTCTTTATACAAAAGCAATAATCCAAAAAGTATTCAACCTTCAGGTGAATTCAATATGTTAAATTTTCTCATAAATCTTCAAAGATTGCAATACAAAGTTTAACAGAATTTTCTTTTATGCCTATAAGCTAATTCAGCAGCTTAGTTTACAAAATTTGGGTTTGGCTGGGTATTCACCGTTTCCAATTTTACTAATAACTAAATTTTCACGATTATATTCCAAAATTTTCCTCGAGTTTTAATCTGGTGATCTCTACCAGTGAGCCACCAACTCCTGAAGAGGCATAGAATAAAAGAGACTGCCAAGGGCTTAGTTTATGCTAGGGATATGACTTAAAGTAGGATTTGTACGGGTAGAAAGGTGTAGGCTAAGAAATTCTGTGAAGGAATGAGCTTGGAATTGTTAAGAGCGCGGTGATTTGGATTGGAGGAAATTTTTGGGAAGATTTGTGGAGAGGTGGAGGTGGGCTAATTTTTGGGAGTGAGGTGGATAGGGATTGTTGTAGGGGGTGAAAAATTGGAGGAGGCTTCTTTTGGGATTCACCGAAGTGGTTATTTGAGTCTCAAAAGTTATGATTTATTGGTAAACTTCTGTTTTGTATGAAAATTAGCATATTTTTGAGCAGGAAAATTCACACTTTATTTCTATCCTCAAAGCTAGGAGCTTGAGAGCAAAAGAAAATTATTAAGAGATATTCAAAATACATAAAAGAACTAAGCTAGTTTTTAATAGAAAGTGTTTTAATGTTTTCCATTACTAAATCATCAAAAGGGGTTTTGGGGTTTTGGGGTTTTGGGGTTTTGGGGTTTTGGGGTTTTGGGG